ACAAAATGAGAGAGAGAGAGAGAGAGAGAGAGAGAGAGAGAGAGAGAGAGAGAGAGAGAGAGAGAGAGAAGGAGGGAGAAAGATAGGGTGTACTAGAGAACCATTGTAAGAAGAGAACATTTTACCTGTGAACCGGAGTCACTGTTGGACGGTGAAGACTCATCGACAGAGACAAATCCCTGGTCACTGTCTGTGACGACCTTGAACTCAGCCAGCGTCGGATAGCCAATATTAGCCACTCGTCGAAGCATGAACTGTCCAGTTTGATCAAGCTGCATATCTCCTAAATCATCCTTCCCTTGACTCTTCAGTTTGTCTTCCAGGTCTTTGAAAAATCGTTTATTGTTGTGATCGTTATGCCATAACGTTTTCCTATGCCTCATCACGTAGTTTATGTACATGCACTGGCTCCATCGCTTTTTGGGCTTAACCTTTTGCGCATCTTTTAAGTGAACGAAAAGAGGTAAACCTGTTGAAAGCTTGCAGAAGATTTGAATACCATAGGGTGTTCGATAACATCTAGCCTGGTTGAGTTCAACGCCAGCTTTGCTTACAAGTAGAGCGATGAACTGTAATGCGAATTCGTTCAGCGTTTCACCCGTACAGCCGTTATCCATGAAGATATTGCTTTCAAAATGAACATCCTGAAGTACTGGATCTGTAGAGAGCTCTACCAAGCTCAACAACAGTCTCTCCATCTCATAGTCTGCTTCTCTGTACATGGTGGTACAGATATATATCCTATTTTTCTTCTGTGGTCCGTATGTCAGTACCTCTACAGACTGCTTACAGTTGTAACCCAACAAAAGCCTCGAGTCGTGAAATATTGGGTTCCAGCCAAAGTCTAAGAACATGGCCTTATATGGAGTGAGGAGGAATGAAGGTCGTCGAAGGAAGTTGTGAGAGTTGAGTATATAGGGCCACGCCCATGCCCAGGCTAAGACAGATGCACAGATGAGTAAGGGCGAGAAAGATCCTAAGTCCTTTGTCTCATCAATGCCGTACATAACCGGCGCGAGTGAGACACATAATACTATACTGGCTACCATTGAGAACAATGAGGGTAAAACAACACCAAACAGAGGTTGGCACAGGGCGAGAGCTAAGTATGAAATGCCGAAACCTAGCAGGCATGACATAAAATGAATGATCAGAGGGAGAATGACGTAACTGCTATAGAAAATAGAAAACCCGTTGTAAAATCTCTGAATGATTCCTTCTCTCTCAACGACATCACTTCTTAGATAGAATTCCAAAACTAGAAAAACAAGAATTGAAGCGATTTTAACCAGAGTGTACAACATATGGCATTGTCTTTGGCGGAGGGACCTATGACCAGTCGGGTCTAGAATGTGTGTTTGGAATTCGGGCGTCCATAAAATTCCCAGGATGCACGGTACGACAGCCAGACACAAAGACGACACCCCATCTGCTAGATCCATGACGTAGAGGAAGCAAGCAACGGCTGGTGGGACCAGGAGACACATGACCGACGCCATGATGCGCGCGCCGTGCCAGCAGAAGGAAGAGTCGTCCACTTTCTCTGGAGGGCTGTCTGGCTTGCCGTGGCCCGTCGTGGGCGATGGTTTCTGAGGAGAGAGAAAAAAGGTAAGGACCACTGATTCCGAGACGATAATGTGTTTAGTAAATGGATAGAGAAAACTGACGTGCTTTTTAAAATGTTATATAACGCGTTTTATAGCTAACAATCTCGTTTGATGACAGAGAAGTGTAATTACCTACGTGTTAACCCACCCATTCCAAGTCAACCCCTTAGCCAAACCCCTAGCTTAAGCCTAAGTCAGAGTCTAAGCACTATTAGATAAAAAAGCAGGATGATAATTATACAGAGTAAAGTATATTATTATGCATGCAGTGTGATTTAAATCAGTAGTACAATAATCGTAGTGAGTGCACGTGTTGCTAAAGGGTTGGGTTTTTTTTTCTTCTCCAGAACACAGACTCCTCAAACACACCCCAGCCTATCAGTACACAGAAGACAGACCTCCCGCTCTACTTCCCTTACCCATGACAAGTACTTTAAGCAACACATCTCCTCCCTTCCATTCCAGTAGCGACCAGTGACCACACTGACCACACAGTTTACACTGACCACACTGACCACAAGTCACTCACCCACTTCCTCTGGACGGACACGATGACAGAAGACACGGCGAGCGTGCTGTGTGCAGCGGGAAGCGCCACGTAGACTGGCAGAAGAACCATGACCCTGGTCGTGAACGTCACGAGGCAGGCAGCTTCCACCACAGAGGAGAACAGACTCTGTATACGAGAATGACAATAATAATAATGCTTATTTTTGTCTTTGCGCAAGTAAGGGACGTTATAAAACGTGCGAAATAGTATACGTTTAGCGCCCCTAATAACATTGTAAGGTTATGAACTTTGTGCACAATTACATGAAAGTGAATGGAAGTCATTCGTTTAGAAAATTTTTCCTGGAGTGTATGTCTCCTTTTTGAGGAAGGACCTCCGAAGTTTACTTACATCTCCGATAGGACTGAGCCTTTTGGAAACTTTATTGTAAACTGTATCTCCCAAAAACATAAATGTTGGACCAAGTTGAGCTTCGAACCCCTGCACACGCAATCTCACAATAATGCTCGGGTAGCTTAATTACTAGACTACTGAAGCCACCGAGTACGGGACACCACAAGACATAAACATGTTTCGAAGACAAGCATCTCGATCAGTTTGGGTTTATCCTTTTTTCAATGTTGGTGTTTTACGCACCTCGTCGACACAATTTTGATCATTGAGTAAGCAGGCTTAGACCCTGCCTAATAGGGCCAATCCGGGCTAAGATTGATACGACGTCGCAGCAGAAAAACCGAGACCCTCGATAAGAATTCTCTCCACTCGAGAATCAAACTCGGGTCTCCTGCGCGCGATGCAAAATGCCTAACCGTTGCATCACAAACGTCGATGAGGACTATTTATATCTGCATCTCGCTCTGAGTAACACCCTGTCACCTTTGAATATTTGACAAAAAGCAACAACCAAACATATAAACAAAACAACTAATGGCCAAATGTCACTCTTAGTGGCTGTTTAGATCCAATACTTTGATAGAAATACGTGCATTGGCGAAGGCTTTAAGTCCAGCAGGTTATAGGTACGTGTGATTCTTGTTAACCTTGACACAGACAACCTGTTACCGATTTTAAAAAATGTATTTCTATTCTTTAAAAATTAGCCCATGCTGCCAGCGTCCATCTAGTTTATGACAACAGTAGGTTTGGGGCGTTATAGTGTTTCTGGACGGACCTTCCCCCCCCCCCTTAAAAAACAAAACAAATCCCCCAAAAAACAAGCAAAAAATCAACAACAACCAAAAAAACCAAAAACAACTTGAACAGCACCGCCACCAACAACAAAGAGAAAACATCCAAACAAGTAAACATTCTGTGTTTTCTTCAGGATTTTGGTGTTAAACAGTGACATTCCTGTTAGATCGGTGTGCTGTCAAAGCCCACAGTAAACAACAGTTTACACACGGAAGCTGAGAATCTCTTTCGAAAAGATATCAGGAATGGGTATAGGAAATGGCATTTTCTTCAACTATTAATTCCCCCCCCCCCCCCCCTCGTCTCCCTTTTTTCCCCGCATGGTGGCTTTCGCCACGAATCAATGTATTTGTTCCAACAACCAAGATGGCATAGATCATAAATGAGCAATCCAATTCCAGTGTGGTCACCACCAAGGGTAATTTTTCACCTAATGTTGACAAGTAGACTGTTGCCATAGACACAAGATCTAGGCTGTCAAATAGATACCCTTAAGGTTTTGATGGAAATGATAGCAGGAGGAGGAAGAGGCGTAAGAGGGGGAGAAGAAGAAGAAATTGTCATAGAGGCTTAAGACTCTGTGTGTGTGTGTGTGTGTGTGTGTGTGTGTGTGTGTGTGTGTGTGTGTGTGTGTGTGTGTGTGTGTGTGTGTGTGGGTGGGTGGGTGTGTGTGAGAGAGAGAGAGAGAGAGGGAGAGAGAGAGAGAGAGAGAGAGAGAGAGAGAGAGAGAGAGAGAGAGAGAGAGAGAAGAGAGAGAAGCTGGTCCATTCTTTTGCAAACATACGTTACTATACACGATCACATGCTTTGACAACGTGTTTATTAACTACAACCCGTACACAATCTGTGAATTACATAAGCTTACCAGGAAAATGCTTTGTAGTGGCGGCCAAGGACTCCCCTCTGCTTTGCGCAGGAATGGAACATTCCACATGGTCAACAGCACACTGAAGAGGTAGGGTGCTAGCAGTATAACTGACAGAACTGCGTATCTGAAAAGGAAACAAACAGGACTTTTAAAATTTGTACTCGTATGTAGTGTCAGTGTGGGAAGTTTGGCTAATTTAAGTCTATCTTAGTAATATTGTGTGTCTGTTGGTTTATTCATCCTGTTTTTTCTATTTTTTTAACTTGTGACGACGAGTTTTTTTACATGTATCCCGTGAAATTAATTGGATTAATTTGCAAAAGCCAATATTTCGTTGTTCTTAGAATTTCATTATTGAAAAACATTGTAAAACGACGCTTGACGACAAGAACGGATGAGTTGGAGATAACAAGACACAACTGTTAATAATAACAGCTATATATAACCCGGCAGTTAGAGAAGCAAGAAAATCAATATAGTCAAATCCTGGCTCAACAGACTACACGTGATCCGTTTGTGGAAAAGTCTTCTAAAAAAGAATAACCTATGAAGGTCAAAGTGAAAGACCACAAGGAGATTTAACAACCTAGCCACATGTTTATTATTGTTTATTATGCAGATTAACACACCACTTGAGGAAGAAGTGAAAGGTGATGCTATCTGCTGCAAATGTTGGCGTGTTGTCTTCATTACAAGTTGCTTGCTATTATTTACTTTAATTTGCTCTCTCTGCCATGCTTGCTACTAAGATTTGCGGTGGCGAGCAAGGTCTATAACTTCTCTTTCTCCTTGGATGTTAAATGTCATCATAAGTCCATGGTGGATGAACAACTTCTGTTATCATGTTCTCTTGTGTGAGAAGTTTTTGCCTTTGTCAACTTTGTGTCTGACGACACCGAGTCTCGAAGAAAACACTCTCTGACAGCCCAGTAAGTTAATGGTATTGGTTTGGTTTATGTATTTGAAACGAGTAGCTCAAGATAATTAATTATTGATTTTAAGAGGAAACTGGGCCTCGTATAGCTAAAGGTAGGAAACATTGTTTCTCATACTATTGTTTGACTTTGGGTGACACTTTTAATTTTGTAAGGTTACTTAAAAGGTGGGATCTCCGAAACGAACAACCCATCCTTTAAAAAAACGAATGCCAGTGGGTGGAGAACCTTCACACTCCCCAAACATTCTAAATTAAAAAATGACCTGTCTGGTATTTCCACCAAGGTCATCTATATCGCAGTTCATGATGAAAACAGCGGAGCTAAGGGTGCGGCTTTGGCAGTCTGCAAAATCAACTAATGTGCACGAAGTGTCGCATCTTCAGCAAATTGGTGAATCTATACTCTGCGTTGATCATTTGGATTACCTGGGATTAGCGGCAACCTGTTCTGAGTATATACACGCCAAACGATCCACCCTTTTAATACAAAACAAATACAACCTCCCTCGTTGTTCCGGTTTTAGCTTATTGCTATTTAAAAAAGTGAAGTTAACTCAACCCCCCCCCCTCCCGCAAAAAGGGATTCAGCTCAAGACCATCAACTCCACAGTATCTTCCCTCTAGAATCTAGTGTTTTTACTCTTTGATGCCCAAAGGTTAAATTAGTTTTGGTCATATATCATTTACAAAAACACTTTGCTCACTTCTCTGCATTACCCCCATTCCCATCTTCACCCCGCCCAAAGCTTATTTCCGTTTTTACACCGTGCACCCTCCCCCGACCGGACTGTTCATAATACGAATGGAGAGGATGTGGCAGTCATCCACAGTAGACTAGACCAGTGACACCCACCTAAACAAAATACCCCAAATTACTCTCTCCGAAACCCAAAAAGTTGACGGACTAATTATTTAGATACATCTATCATGATGATCTATCACTATCTTTATGTTTCCGGGGGGGGTACTGTTATAGAGAAATTACGAACCCCCCTCCCCTCCCTGATTCCTTTGGAGATTACCTCTGGGAAACTGAAAGGAAGAGGCTGCAGACGAAAGTACAGCGACTAACTATTTTTGTATGAAAACAAGGACTTGCAAAACAAACCCAAGCAAGCTGTCAAAAAGTCTCCTGGGTGGCATAGATCTTAACTTGGAGACAAACGAAAAAGAATGCGAAATATGTACTTATTTTTATCCCTTGCCCATTTATATGAGACTGGCGCCCTCTGATTAGTAGAAAAAGTTCATATAATGATAGTGTCCTACAGTGTATGGCTTGCATACTTAGTATGACAAGTAACTGTTACAAATAGAGATTCCAGGGTTATAGAATGACGTAAGTCATTGATCTGAGAGCGGTGATGATTTTAAAAATAATGATGGCGATGCGTGATGATGTGGGATTGCGTTTAAGTAATGTTAGCATTAGTCCTATGTTCCTTTGCTTCAATGAGTCACGAGGGACGTGGGCAGACCCTCTAGCCCGTTCCTTACTGGAACCATCTTTACGGTCACCGTAAAGTTCCGAAATGGTGGTCACAGTTTTTGCTAAGGTAACATTGTTAGTGTTAGCCTATTCTATCGGGCCATGACAAGTGTCAAGAGGAGCTAAGTAGGAAGACAGTATAGTGACAACAAAATATGTACTTAAAGTGGTATTTGAGACAGGAAGACGAGAAAGACACACACACACACACACACACACACACACACACACACACACACACACACACACACACACACACACATGCACACACACACATACACACACACACAAAGAGAGAGAAAGAGAGAGAGAGAGAGAGAGAGAGAGAGAGAGAGAGAGAGAGAGAGGGAGGATTCTAAATCATTATATGTATTTCAGCGCCTCCAACGACATGGTCTAGATTATTTAGTTGGCGGGCTTCGTGAACGCACAGTATTCGAATGGAGGATAAAAAAGGATAATAATAATATCTGTTCTTATCTTGTCTTGTAAGATCTAATCACAGGACATAGCATGAAGGGTCGTAGCTTTAATAAAAGCTACAACTAAAGAGAGAAGAATGTTATTGAAGAAGGTGGGCCAAAATATTAATTATTTAATTGCGATCTCCTCGAGAACTCGTTGGTCGACAGACTTGGCAAAGACCAAAGACATCTAAGACTTGAATCGGAGAGGGGTCTAATTTTTCACCGTTCATAAAAAAGACTATAGTAGATTGGGATAGGGGTGTCATTATTCGCTGCAGAGTATGGGGGAAAATTAGTTTACTATTCTTACAAACTTATAAGGCTATATTAGTGGCCTGGCTTGCTAATTCAATGTTCATATCTTATAAACTTTACGTTTGAAGAGCTTTGAAACCATCCCAAACGATACGAATCCAATTTAATTTTAATTAAAAACACTCTGTTGGGGATTCAGACTTAAATTATCTGCATCATCATATTAACTGGACTATCGACGCTCTGATCAAGCCTTGAAGGTGGACTGGTATTGAAGGTTTAATTACCCAGTCAAGTTTGCCAAGGGCGTCTGGGTTAATGGTATGTTTTATCGGTTCTGATGGTTTAGTACCAGATGATCAATAACTCAACTGCCTCCCTCTTACCCCTCCCCACCTTATGGTCACATGAAGGAAACAGAGACTAAAAGTTTTTGAGTAGTAAACAACTGAAGCCTTGAAAGAAAAACAAACAAACAAAAACAAACGAAAGCAGCGCCAGGTGTTCTTATTTCGTCGTATCCAATAAATGACCCCTGCCCCCACTCCCTTCTTGCTCTCCTACGCTACCTCTGTTATCACTGAATCATAGTTTCGTGATTATCCAAGATTCTGACTGTTATCCTCTTTATCGAAACAGGAGACCTGCCAGCAAATTAAAATTGTGTATCAGAAATAACGCAAATAATACAAGTTAATTGGTTGTTTCAACCTCGCTCAATTTCATCATAATATGCGTGTTGCAATTTCGTTCCTTGCCTGTTAATTCGACATAGAAACCCAGTGTGGGGCTACTATAAACAAAAAAGGCTAAATTCATTTAGCATACCACGAAACAAGTTTGCGTTGACGACGCTGACACTGAAACTCGTAAACCAAAATTCTTATCGCTAGCGTCGCGTACTCCTTCTCAGCTGTTCCCCTTCCGAAGTGCCCAAGACCCTTATATTAAATTCTAAGTTAATTCATAACATGTGTCTATAATGAGTCCTTTACCTGTCCTTTCGACAACGACCTTTGGGTTTTACAGTTATATGCTTAGCTTTCATTATTATTTATATACTATGACGAATTTGTAGCTACACACCGGTAATGAAATTGAATTGAAACATAAGGCCAAGGCTTAACAAAACAACTCTGAACTTAATGTCTAATTGAAGCTCTAAATCAAACATTATCCAAACGAGTCTTCATTGCTATTTGATCGTCTTTGCTGACAAGGTAATTTCACAATAAACCACTGTCGTTTATTATTATGAGATCTTTCTCGCAATAAAACTCGAAGGCTCAGATCTATCGACGACGTAAAATCTTGAACATGACTTGATAAACAAAAGTCTATATCTCGTTGCATAATTTGCCTTATCATTCAATCGAGCGTGCTAATGTAAATGGTTATTCAACACATTTTTAGCCATTTCAGTAGGCTAAAAGTTTGGTTTATATCAAACAGGAGTTGGGAAAAGATCACAGGGGGTGTGTTTTGCCAACATTGGTACAATAACGAAATTGGAACGCCCTAACCTAATGAAAGAAGCTGGAAATATGTATCTACAAGAAAACATGATCAAACTGATGTGACATCGTCTAATCAGTGTTTAGAAAAAAAAAACTCTCGACAAACACAAAACCAGGGCATGCGCAAGTCTGCATGACTATTTAAAAATTTTTTTTATGTAGTCTACTTATTCAATGTCATTTTAGTTTAAAATGTATGATACATTGCTGTACAGTTACTATTATCATAGTATGTTTTCGTTGAACTCAGAATGTCATTATGAATGAACCAAAGATGCTTTCTCCCGTTTACTCTGTCTCTCTCCCTATCCCCCCTCCCCCCCCTTCTCTCTCTCTCTCTCTATCTCTCTCTCTCTTTCTCTCTCTCTCTCTCTCTCAATGTTTCTGATTTTATCTCTTGTCTTCTCTCTTTCCATCTCTCTTTCTCCCCATGCCATTTCTCTCTGATTCGCTCACCCATTCTCTCTCTGTTTCTCTCTCTGTTTCTCTCTCTCTCTCTCTCTCTCTCTCTCTCTCTCTCTCTCTCTCTCTCTCT